TATGTGATGTGCAGCACTCAGCTGTCCAATAGAAATTTGAGTGATATATTGCTATAATTGAAATTACACCACCTGTAAAATAACACAGACTACCTAGGATTTTCGGTTCAGAAAACCAAATTTAATTGACACAAAGGGAGCCTTTAGATAAAAATAATAGTTTTCCACCATTCAAATGACCATACTGGGCTGCTCTTTATTGACGAACTGGCATGGACAAAAAGTACATATTGTTTTCGGCTATTAGCAGATGTAAAACTGGGATGGATTTGTATTAATTTAATTGTCACGTTTTAATTTGAGTAGTTATACCATTATTTCAGGTAGTAACATGAAATCTTGGAAATGCTCGTCAATTTAGCAAGATTTTTATCCAAAAATCTGTGAGTGGAAAAACTTATATTTCAGAAATATACATTTATGTCAGGCCAAGAATCCAATGATTTGGAATGGCTGGCCTAATGTTGATGAGAAAATACATTTATGTCGGACCAAGAATAAGATATAAGGTCTTTTCATTAAGTATTGTTACCACGTAAAGAATAACTTTTGAAGAACTAAACACATTGTAATACATGAAAGATACTACTCCTTATCAGAGGACTCATCATCATGATTCACGTGTTTGTTTTTTAAAAAGGATAATCGATGGGATTGAGTTGAAGCATTAGGCTGAATGTATGGACCAAGTGGGAGAATGTAACATATCCTTCTCTACACATTCCCGTTGAAGTCTCTTCCCATTTCTTCAACTGTCATATTGATGGTCCAACATTCATGGGGTTTTCAGTTTCAACATTTATAGAATTCAATTTCACCATCAATTGGTTGGTAATTTAAGCCATAATTTGATGGGAGTTTTGGCTATATATATAGAGGTTTTGGTCCCGAAGCTCCACCACCGAAAATACAATATACATCATCTATTGAGAGTGTTGAGAGTTTGGAGGTTCTATTACCTGTAGAAAGGAGAGCTTCTGCAACATTATCAATGGCCGGAGGTATGAACTGATCCCTATGGTATTTCGATTTTTCGATCCAATTCATTTCTGCATAATTGCTCTGGATCGATTTTTGTCTAACAGATTCCTCTTCGTTTACCCGGATCTAGCTGAGAAACTTAAGTTTTTGCTCAATCTTTGCTTTGTTGTGCTAAGTTTTTGTCCGTTCTTTGCTTCCTTGTGTATTACTTTATTAGTTCTCTTCGTACTCCATTTTTTTTTTTTTACAGAAGTTGATCTGAGAGAAAGAGTCATAGAGAAAAAAATAAAGTTTAGAGTGCTGGCCAGTGCAAATTCCAACAGCCGGGTTACTGTTCGTGGTTTGAGTTTCCATGATTTCTATGGTCGTGGAGTTCAATATTAGTGGCAGAGGTAATTGTTTTTTCTGTCTCTACCCAAATAAAAATTTATGATTTCATAAGAAAGCCATCGAAGGCTTTCCAAAAATTGAGATTTGGCTGTAGAAGGATCGAAGTGTATTTCGTAACATCGAACGCCAAATCCGAGGTTATTATTCATTTTTTAAAAATTTGAGTTTTTAGATTTCTGATTATTATATTCAGAAATTTTAGAATTTATTGTTTTTATTATTTTTCGTTGGTGGGTTTTATTAAATATACAAAGAGAAGAGAAGAATGTCCAGAAAGCGATTAAAGAGGCTGCAAGAGAAATGACATGGGTTCTGCTAAGGTATCATTTAAGGCATATATAGATCAGATTGTATATCTGCTAATATTATTGATTGATGCCATTGATCGTTGTTGGAATACTTTGAATTTGAAATTTGGTGTCGTTATTATCGTTACTTTTTCATATTTGTTTGTGAATAATGGTGATTGATACCCGTTAACACGACTTGATGCGTAATCAGCATCTCCCTCAGTGGTTATTCAAATCAGTAGTCAAGTTTTCCTCACAAAATGTGATCGATATCGTCTATAGTTTTTTGTGTTCTTAGGGCTGGGGGTGACTGGTGAATGGGGTATAACATGTGGAAGAAAGCCTAACGAAACAATTTCCATTTGGTAAGCAAAAGTGTGTGACAGGAGTACGTGCTAAGAGAGTATCCATTTGTCCTGTATGTTTGCTGTCGACAAAGTTGTAACTCTTGATGCAATTGGAGAATGGTGTGTGTTTGGGCAAGGAAGCCTAGAATGACCATCTTGCAATTCTTAAGAATATAAAACCTTTTAAAATTTGTTGGTTTACTGTGACAAAGCAGAAGTCTTGATATGCGTCCAAAGACGTCACCTTTTATCCTGTGTTTGTGATGATCATTTGCTCAAAATGTACCCAGGTGCGTGCATTTTCTGTTAGTTACTTTAAAAATGTGTCCAAAAGCCTTGGTTTGCAAAAAAAATAAAAAAATAAAGGATGTTATGTCAGGAACAATTTTCTATCATCGAGAAAACCTTAGCTTTATTTTTCATCATGGAATTTCCGTTTCAATCCATGTGCTTTCTTCCACATTCTAGGTGCAGATATGGGAGAGTGACTTGAAAGTTTAACTGAACGTGTTGCATCACGCGACATAGTTCATTTTGTCCCATTTCGTGACATAGCAAGTAAGCAACAAATTTATTAGACCGAGAGCATATTTGCCGAGTTTAAAAAATTTACTTACAAGTAAATAAGTGTTAAAAAAAATAATTTCTAATGTTAGATACAAAAAATAACTTAAAATCGCTTACCTCTTTCTTTATGCTTAAGCCAAACGTGCCGATACCGCCCCTCGCTCAAGTATATGATGTTTTCTGAAAATGACCTTGCAGGTGGAGATATCTCTTTCATTCAATCACTTGTAGCAGAATGTCTGACCATGAAGTTCTTTTTTGAATAATGCTGAAGGCCAGGTAGAGCAATTGCTCTCACATGACGAGGACCCACTCATTAACCACCCCCCTCCCCCAATGTTAAACACCCACCCCCATCTCACATTTGCTCTGTCAGGCCTTTTACGTGCATGAGGCAGCTCTGTCCTTTTTCATGTGTTCTCAATTCATGATATCACTATTTTATTTACATTAAATCACTCTCTGCTTCTTTTGGGCTTTTACCTATTAGTTGGCTCTTTTTAATCTCATTAGACCATGTCCTTGATATCATAAAAATAGAAGAAAATAAGCAATATTTACTAATCTTGAGGAGCCTCATGTCGATGTGTTTATCTTTTGCATGTCTTTGCATCCTCAAAAAGGAAAAGTCCATTCCAGTGGAACCATAGCAGACAATGAATTGATGATGTGATTCATGAGAATTAAACATATTTAATACACTAAAAGCATCTCCAAGAAATATTTTCAATATGAGATGCTATATATTTTAAAGAGTCAACATTTAAAATCACGCTCCAAAAGACTCTTTAAATTAAAATTTTAATCTAGAGAGTTGGTCACTCTCTATAATTAAATGCATTCAAAGTATTTCAATTTTCAATGTAGGAAAATAATAAAATAATTTAAAGAAAAACTAGTTAAAATAAAATATAAAGAAAAATAATCAATATTTTTTGGGAGTAGTAAAATTAAGTTAAATATAAAGAGCTTGTCGGAGTACTTCAAAATTTTAACTCTTTAAATTTATAGATGTTTTCCAAATGATAAGAATATGCTCTTTAAAACTAAAGAGTCTTTTGAAGATAATCTAAAATTACCTTTAAAATTACGCAACCCGTGCATTGCACGGGCAAAACTATTGTTTAGTTAAAAGAATGAAAATTTTGTAGATTTACGTATAAAATTATTTTTATCTTTAGAATATTTGGTTAAAAACAAATTTAAGAAAAAATGAATTTAAAAGAATGAGCTCAGGGTTTAACCTCCGTTTGGCCTTATTAAAATTATAATTCATTTTTTATCTTTCTATCAATCACAGATTTTTCAATAAAATAATATTATACTTAAATTCAAAATTTTTTATTCTTTATTAATCACACCTTAAAAAAAATTACTATTTTAAAAATTAAGAGCCCATTTAGTAGAGATTAAAATCGGATTAAAATTGAAAAATTAGCTGTTATTGTTGACTTTTATTACACGAGTGGGCTCAATAACGGTTATATTTTTAATTTTAATTGGATTTTAATCGGTACCAAACAGGCTCTAAAACGACAAATATTGGAGGCAATTGAGGTAGGTAGTGGTGGCAAATGGGCACGAGCCGAGCCTGCTTCGCTCGCCCACATGCGAGCTCCTTGTGGGCTCGTCTTGACAAAGGGTTAATTTTTTATATATATACATATATTTTTTAAAAAGTGTCTTTAAAAAGAAAAGTTTTTTTCACGAGCTCGCAAGCCGAAGCTTAGCTCGGCCCACAAGCTCTGCTTAGTCCACGTTTTAAACGAGCCACGAGCTCGGCTCGTGACGAGCACGGGCTGAGCTCATGTGCATACGGGTCTAGCCGCTCGGCTTGCCCATTGCCATCTCTAGAGGTAGGGTTTAAAATACTTAAAAAAGATTTCATCAATGTCTTGTCAAACCTTTACAATAATGTGGGTTTTGGTCCCCTTTGGTGTCCACAACTCATATGAGAGGCGGTGGTTGTCATATCAGAGCGTGGTTGATTCTCTCTCTTCTTCCTTCCTTCCTTTTTTTTTTGTATTTTTAAATAGTATTTTGATGAAAAATATGTGGTTAAAAAATAAGAATTTTTTTATTTGTGTGTAATATTATTTTATTGAAAAATGTATGATTGAAAAAAAAAATTTGAAAATAATGAGCTTAATCTTACTCAAAATGGCTCATTCAAAATAGATAATTCAAGATACAAGTACAATTTCCACTTCTTCCCATTTTTTTTGTTTTTTTATAATTTTACACAATAGCAAATACAATTCAAATCAAGCCCCAAAGTCGACTACAACAATAAGAATAATACATAAACAATGCTACATGTACATCACGAGTTATACTTTGGTTTACATTTTTTCATGTGTTTAGATCGTCACTTTAGTATTCAGATTTCTTCCATATAGGAGATATCAAATCCACCCTCGAGCAATCAAGTACCCTTCGTTAATGACTTAAACGTGACTAATGAACCCAACAATAACTTCCCTATCTCTGCAGTAAATGTATCATACTTGAGAAAAAACTCCACAAGCATAAGCCTAGACAGTAACACGACCAAATCTTTACCAGGGCATTGCTTGTTATCTACCGTTGGATCATCAGTTTCTCTCCCATTGGACCAGTAAACATATTCTATCAATTTCTCCCCTTCGGACATGAACCTCTCGGCCACGAATTCCTCGGGCTTGTCAAAAACCCTAGAGTCCTTGGTTGCCATTGGTTGATACCCAAAGATCATCTCACCTTTCTTGATCGAGAATTTTGAATCATGATTCTTGATTATAATATCCTGTTTTGCTTTTCCATATTGATAAGGAACAGCTGGTTCAATTCTCAGTGCTTCATAAACAACTGATTTTGTTAGGCTCATTTTCTCCAGTGCTGCGGCAGAGACACCACCTTCTTCTTTAACAACCGCCCTGATCTCTGCCGCCAGACGGCGGTGCAAATCTTCTCCGGCGATGGCGACCCATTTGATTAAAGCTGGAAAAAGGGCTTTCATTCCGCCGTATGCATTGAAACCTGCTAGGAAAACTAAGTTGTGGCAAGCTTCATCTCTTTTCATGCCAATTTTCTCAGCTTCATCCAAAATCGAGCCGGCAGAATTATAAAAACTGTTATAAAGTTTTTTGTAATCTGATTTTATAAGCCCGAAAGGGAGTGGAAATGTATGTAAAACTAAATCTTCTAAGAAATGTGGGACAAATTTCAATCCAAGACTGATCAATGGATGAAGCTGGAAGAACAGCCATTTGTCAACTAGTTTCGGGCCTCCGGTCGGGCCGAGAGGAGTTTCAGATGGATTCTTATCGCAAAATAAACGGAAAACAAAATCAAACGACATGATATCATTCAATGAATTGAAATTCGCTTTTCCTTTATTAGACAATTCTTCTTCAAGGCTCGTAAACAGCCCAGAAATGGATTGTCGAAAGCCCGGAATGAATTTGCTGTGTAATTTAGCAAGTTGAGATATGAAAAAACCTTTTAAAACTGCATGATTGGGCTCGGATGGATCCAAATAAGCACAAGTCCGGTAGCCGCCGGTGAAGGCGGTGGAGGGCATGTAAGTCCCGTCAAGAACATTTTGCTTCTCGACCTTGGAATTGTCGAAGAGGATCTGAAAGCTAATTGCATCGAGAAGGCATACGACTTGTGGATTTTTGGCCATGAACGGGCCTGGTGGCATGTTGCACCTGAAAACAGTGGAGTTATATTTTTTCATTCGGGCCCTGAAGAATTCAACTTCACCTTGGCCATAGTAGTAGTCTAAACGATCTTTTATCGGCCCGAAAAATGGGACGCCATAGCCACCGGGGATGTCTCGAATATCTGACGTTGGCGAGGAGTCAGAAGATGGGTGGTTCACGGCGGCGGCGGAGGAGATTGGTGAAGACATTTTGGTTAAACTCTCAATGAAGAATTCCAAGAATTATATGAATTATATATAGACAATTATAGTGTAATGTACATTTTCAATAGGGAAATTAATGATGTCCATAAAGTCCGCACCTCGTGTTTTGGGCTATGTACCCATAACAAAACCCCTTTTTAATATGGATTGTTTTTTCATGTGAACAATGTTCTATCATGCGTAATGGTATTATAACGTGTTTACGACTTCACAGTACAAACATTGGTATGCTTCAAAATAAATAAAAATTACTTTAAAGTGGCTTATTTTATCAAATATAATTTTAAGGGATTGTTTGACAATTTTTTTTTTAATAAAAGTTTTAACAAATTTCGATATAGTTGATTAAATGTGCGGTTGAAAAGTAATGAATTTTATGAAATATTTAATTGAAAAGTTAATAATTTTTGGAGATATTCCAAACCAGCACTAGAGTCATTCACAGTGATTAGGTTCGGACAACTTTTTATTAAAAATACAAATTTTAGTAAAATCGTAAGATCGTGTATATGAGGATTGACGCATGATCGGTGCCAAAAGATCAAGGAATGACGGATTCGGTGATAGCATGTGCACTCCATTCTATCAATATATAAATAATAACAAGTTGTACAAATTATTAATATTTAAAGAAAAGCAATTATGGACTGCATTTGCAGACCTAAAAAATAGAGAAAATAATAATAATAATAATAATAATAATAATAATAAACAACCCACCCAGCTTGGCCAGCCCTGCTGTTCAAGGAATAAATAAACAATAAAAGCTACTCAGAAATGAAAGAAAAAGGCCATAAGAAATATAAAGGGGGGGGCAAAAAAAAAAAAAACCGGGCGCCATAAATGAAAAAAATCAACATTGCTACTTCTCTCTCCAAGAAAGAAGACCCATAATCCAAATTCCAAACCCGGGTTTTTCCATTTGTACCGAAAATGGGTGACAACGAGTTTGAATAAAAAATTTCAAAAAAAAGTGGGTCCTCCACCTATCGTGAGTGTTCAGTGAAAGTGTTTGTCAATCATTTTCTGTAAGTGTAGCATTTCTCAAACCCTCCATCTCCACTACGTAAGAGTTATGATGACATGGACCGATTAGTGCCATTGAGGGCCATGTGCTTTTCTGAAGAAAATTTTCATAAAAATTGCATTATAGTTCACCACACCCGTTTGCAACATTTTTGAAATGTTTGATAACTTTTTTGATAGAAACATCTGAAACATGTTTTAGCATCCAACAATATTTTCATTTTCGGTAAGTGTAGCATTTCTCAAACCCTCCATCTCCACTACGTAAGAGGTATGATGACATGGACCGATTAGTGCCATTGAGGGCCACGTGCTTTTCTGAAGAAAATTTTCATAAAAATTGCATTATAGTTCACCACGCCCGTTTGCGACATTTTTGAAATGTTTGATAACTTTTTTGACAGAAACATCTGAAACATGTTTTAGCATCCAACAATATTTTCATTTTCGTTCCCTTGAAGTGGTCCCCTCAACAAGGCATACAATGTGCGGGCTTATGATGATCCCCAAGTTTTTTTTGGTAATTTTTACGTGTTTTGTGGTATAAAATGTCTGCTCTTTTTATAACTACCTTTTGATCCTTGCAAGGGAACTACGAATACAAGTGCTACATGTCTATTATATCTATTAATACATGTCTATTAAATTCTTCGGCTTTGAATAATTTATTTTCTAGCTCCTTAGGCTACGAAAATTAAATTGAATTGATAGGTACAGTTAACAATATTAAACCAATCGAAACCCCATTTTTGTGGTGTATATATATTTTGAGCATGACCATTTTTATTTTCATGATGATGAGATGCCGACGGAGTCGTTGGGTCCGGTTGTTTGAAGGGGGCTGAAATTGTGCGTTGTGCAAGGGTGAAACGTTTGGCGATAGTGGGCACGGTGACCAGGGATGGAAGGAATAGGGATTTTAGGGTTTCAAAGTGGGAGATACACGCTTTCTTTCTATTTTTTTACCCATTTCTCCCCCTTGTACTCGGACGAATGGTTGGTCTGCTACGACGCCACGTTCAACGAAGGTGCGACGCAACGGCGGAGATGGAGGGTTTGGATTATGGCTATTCTTTCGGTTCGATTTTGGGAGAGAGAAGCTTTGATGTTGTGACTTGGACGGCAACCTGAGATGGTTGGTCCGCTTGGGCGAAGTTCGGAGAAGGTGTTGCGCGAAGGCGGAGATGAAGAGTTCGGAAATCGGATTTCGGTTCTTCTTTCGGAGAGAGAAATAGCAATGTTGATTTTTTTTCATTTATGGTAGCATCTTTATTTCATTTCTTTATGCTACATCAACAATTTCAAAATCCCGTTTTCTACCATGTTTTTGACCCTGGCTGCGTAGCTTTATTAATAAATAAATGGAGAAATCGCAATTTCGTGTTGTAACAACTATATAGTGAATTTAAAAATCGCATCGGCATGTGAACAGGCCATACACCTAACAACGTGGGAACCAAATTGCTACTACCCACACACGTTACAATTTATTTAAGGAAAATTGGTCAAGTTCAAAACTTGACGAATTTAAAAGATAACCACTTGTAATAATAAAATTTGAAAATGTCTAGTTATTAGGGTTTTTTCTTTTTTCGAGTCTAGAAGTCTTTTATTTTGTGTTGGATGTTTAATTAACCTTATTAAAAACATCGTTCAAGTCCACTTATTACATATATATAAATCCGAAGTTTTTTTTTCTATTTTTTAACTACACGTTCTTCAAAAAATCACTATTTCCAAACACATTTCTTCGGGGAAAAAAGGGGACTCAAACAAGGGTTTAAAGCGATTCTTATGAATTATGTGAAAATTTATTCAAATTCAAGAAATTCATTAGTCTTTTAATCTTTTAAAATTCATCAAAATCTTGATTGAGTATATCCTTGTTAAGTGTTAATATTATCAACCGAGGGAAAGTTAAAAGTCTTAACATATTAGACAACTACATATAAATTATAAAGCACCTATAAATAAATACATATGTAAGGAAATTTTCAAAATTCAATGGGGGCGCCGCCCATGCCCGCCACTTCTTCAGCCAAAAGAAAGCAAGAGTGGAAGAGCGAACAATAGGAGAAGCAACAATAAGTTAGGGGAACATGGGCTGATGATCATACGGGATAGGAGGTAAGAGTGAAGAAGAAGATGAAAGAACGATGATAACCATGATGTTATTTTGAGAAAGAATAATGTTATTTAACCCCAGTATTAAGTATTGGCATTGGGGTCGCATTCGACATTTTGCTATGAAGTAATGCATTGTTTTATTGGACATGTGACAACTTCAATGTCATATAGACTACTGCTTTACGTTAATGGAACTAAATAGTATTGTACTTTGAAAATATATATAAAAAAAGACACATTTTTAAATAAATTAGCATACGAGAAAGTTTAGGGATAACTAAATGTCTTGTTCCGACTCCAATGTCAAACTCTGATTGAACAAGAAGAAGGTCAACTTGGTCTGTGATATGCTTGGAACCTTCCGCAACCTGGCAGGGCACTACCTCGAAGAAGAAAACAGACTTTAAGAAAGTGGTTCTGGTTGCTCAGCTAGTTAGAGCAAATGATTGAAAATCCTTATGTAACCTATAGCTTGAAACTAGCCTAATTCTTATATATTATTTATTTTTATACTTCAATTTAAATATAAAAATAAATAAATGAGCAAGAAATTCAATATTTTATTTCTCAATCCGCCTCCCAAAAATTACTCCTACTTGATAGTTCTTAAACAAATGCCGTCATCCCACTCTAACATTGACACGTAAGCACTACTTATCTCAATAACCAATCACAACCATTAAATCAAATTCCATTTGACCCAAATAACATATATGCAAATGCTATGTCATTTTCACTAATTATTTTAAAAAATTAAGGAATCTATGTCAAAAGGGGCTAAATTTCTTCCATTTAGAATATGGTTTTGATTTCCCAACTCAATGTATTAAATTATTTCGTATTAGTCAAAATAAAAATTAAAAACTTCAATACAACGTACTTAAATTTTCGTATAATCGTTTTTCTATTGCAATCATTTTACATGGTGAGGAGCTTCTTGAAAACACTCCTTTAATTAGTGTTTGAAAATTAATTTTTAAAAGTGTTTTCTCTTGAAAGAGTTTTTTTTTTTTTTAAGTCATTATAAGAAATACTTATACAAAATTAATTAAAATGGTCAAAAAGTAACTTTTGATTCTCGAAAGCTGTTTTTAACCTTTCAAAAGCCATGCGTAACATATCTTCAATCCATTTTTCTTTTGAGTGAATGTTAAGGTGCTTTTAACATTCGATAAACATCGTTTCATATCCACAACTATGCTAATAAGTACAACAATTTTCAATATAAAAGGATAATTAAATAAGAGGAAAGGAGAAGACTTTGTTAATTAATTTTACAATCATGTTACAAGTACATAATTTTGACAGACAACAAATGACGATGATTCATTGGATGATGGAAAAAAAAAAAACAGACGCATTGGAATATGTCAAAGCTATACTATTCGATTGAAACGTTTGAAGTAAGATAAATGTGAATCACCAGTTCTAATTATTTAGTTTAGAAGATTGTGGAAATCTCTTATTCGATTATCATTAATATTAAAAAAATTTAATTGACCAATATTATTATGTTACATTTGGAGTCATATAACTAACGTTACAATTGGAATCAAATAAGTCGCATTTAATAAGACTATACTTTCATCATTATCTTTACTTGTTACTCCGTCGATATCAGTTGACTAAGAGAATCCTAGGAAAGTTAATCTTTACTTACGAGAATGTTAATGGATGTAGCTGTTGGGAAAGGGGAACTATGACTTGTGGGAAAATAACTTGATTTTATAGTGCTAATAATCGTTCTCAATCCTTGTAATGTCCGGCCTTTAGCCTATTTTGTTGACTCAACCTAGATGTGGCAATCGAGCGGAGAGCTCGTCATGAGCCGC